TGTGTGTGTGTGTGTGTGTGTGTGTGTGTGTGTGTGTGTGTACGTGTGTGTGTGTGTGTGTGTGTGTGTGTTGTGTGTGTGTGTGTGTGTGTGTGCGAGCGAGCGAGAGCAAGAGAGAGGCTCTCCTGATGCCAGTAATAATAACAGCATGATTGTTGAGTAGCTAATCAACGCACTACAGAGTTAATGAGCCCATAAAAGAGGATCGAGGTGTGTGTGTGTGTGTGTGTGTGTGTGTGTGTGTGTGTGTGTGTGTGTGTGTGTGTGTGTGTGTGTGTGTGTGTGTGTGAGAGTATTTTAGAGAGAGGTAACCCCAGAGCCTCTGATTTTCTGTAGCACTCAAACACAGAAATAAAACTGAAGTGAAAACTCACTTTTTAGGAGACGTACATGCACACATTTTTCATACAAACTGGTTGTGAAACACACACAGGCTGAAAAACACACATGCACGCACACACACACACACGTGTGTCACGTAGCTTGTGTCACATCGAGGATCCCCTCAGTCTGGAACAACAAGCAGGGAGAGGAGCTGCTGCAAAACACGAACACACACACACACACACACACACACACAGAGTGGAAGAAACCCACACTTTAAATGTAGCAAACACACAGACACACGTGTGATGTACAGCAGAGCGAGGCAGACCCTGGATGAGCTGAGGTCTGCACTGAGAGGCAGACAGAGAGGCTTAAGAGATCAAACCAGAGGAGCAGCCAGCTGAGAAAAAGTCTTATTAGACTTTCTAAAATCACTAAATCAACACAGAGAGACTCTGTCTGTCACACAGGTCTGTCACCAAGTCCTCAGATCACTGCTGCCTAAAAAAATTACACCACTCAGAGATGTTGCAAAGAGGGGAATTAGCTTTAAAGTCCGACACTGTTACTTGTATCAGGCTCTAAACGTGCTTCCTTCTGCTGTAAAGCCGAGATTTGAACCTGGGAGTGTATGGGGACTGACTCAGTGCTGGAGACAGCCTCGAGTGGACATTAGAGGAACTGCAGTTCGTGGTACGTTCTGTGCTAGCTTCATCTTTCAGCTGTTTGAAAGATGCTACACGTCATGCTAACTGACACACATGCTAAAGTTAGCATAGCAGGTCAGTGTGCTGGAACGTCCTTTTATTCTGGAGCAGCTGAAATCCTGCTGGTGTTTAAAGAACTTGTGTACTTCAGCAGCAGTTATACGAGGTGACGTGTGTGTGTGTGTGTGTGTGTGTGTGTGTGTGTGTGTGTGTGTGTGTGTGTGTGTGTGTGAGAACCTAACCCAGTCTGAAATGTCCTACCCTTTGGCTAACTCTGCCCTTCATTTAGTTCTTGTATCTCTGTGTGGTTGTGTGTCCTCACCTGACTGTCTCTGTCTCTACCTGCACATGTCCACGTTCTTTCCTTTGTGTTGTGTGTACTTTTGTGACTCAGCTTCCTTTGTATTCTCAGTACTACTAACCCCAACGCTTTGAAGTGTTACAATTAGTTTCAGTTTTTGTGTACTCTCAATACAAGAACGTTGTGTTGTTACTTTTTAGCTCTTGTATCGTCTAATTGTGTGAAAAGCGTTTTTTCCATGGGTGGTGGCTGACTGTCTAAGCCGGTCATTTCCAGCTTTATATTTTCCCTCTTGGACTGATTAGAGTAGCTTTGCATGATTGACAGTTCAAAATAAGCCCGATTTCTCTTATCCTGGGGCAGCAAAGTGAAAGACAAAATATAAAAACCTTCTCGTCTCGACGTCTGCTTCAGCTGCTGACGCTGTCATCGTTCTCCATGTTAAATATGTTTTCACTTCCTGCAGACACAGGCAGAGGCTGTGATATTTCAGAAACACTTCTAGGTCCTTTTAATCATCTTTAATCAAAATAATATGGACACACAGGGCTTTGCTGCTGCATTTACGATCTGCTGCTAACATAAACATTTACAGGAATACCGTTTTGTGATTCAGAGCGTGCTGCTGTAAAAACAGTCCCGGAAAATTATGTGTGTGTTTAAAGAATGCTAACATAAAACAGCGTTGCAGCGCTCTCCCCACGTCCCAAACCTAGCTTACATTCCTTGCTGTGTCTCTTTCAGGTGTTCTCCGGGATCTTCACAGCAGAGATGGTGTTGAAGATCATCGCTCTGGATCCATACTACTACTTCCAGACGGGCTGGAACATCTTCGACAGCATCATTGTCTGCCTCAGCCTCATGGAGCTCGGCCTGTCCGATGTGGAGGGGCTCAGCGTGTTGCGCTCCTTCAGGCTGGTAAATCACACCGATTGTCCCACATTTACCACCAAATTCAACAAAGGGGTGGCTTGAATTAAAATGTTGTTGATCATTACAACACGTAGTTCATCAGGCAGCTGATTTCTGATTGATTTGGAAGGACTAAAAATCCTGAAACCCAACTAAGGATGTAATTCCTGAGTAATTAAATTAAATTTCAATGTATTTTATTTTGAATAAAAATCTAATTTTATTTATCTACAAATACTTAAAGGTAGGTACATTAGAGTAAATGGCTAACACGTCAGTTTTTACAAGAAACAAAGAAATGCACTTGTTACATTTTGTCAGATCTTAGCAGGAGAAATCGTTTCTAAAACATGTTGATAGAAAGTCACATGGTGTCACATTACCCTCGTACAGGCAGTCTGACATTAGAAAGCACATTCCAATGTACAAACACAAGAACAGCTACATCCGCTCTCTGTTTCATTAGGAATTATTAAAGAAAGTGGACATCACAGTATATTCATAGTCGGGAGATAATAATTAAGCTGGAAACTCAGCTGATTGGCAGCTGAAGGCCCAATGAGATGGCAGCGTTCAGCGGGATGTTTCGCACCTCGCAGAGGACGTGATGATTGGCTGATAATGAGCGGTGTCACTCAAAATATAAGTTCCGCTGTGTCCAATTTTGCTTCACCGGCAAACAAGGAAAACAAGATGAGGACAGTAGTGGTCGCACACACACAGACACACACACAGACGCACACACTGACACACACACAGACACACACAGATCCTCGCAGGCTGTCTTCATCAGTCTACGTCGATCTTTCTAAGTGTCACTCTGGGTATTGTCAGGTTCTACCAGAGGCAAACACACTCACACACACAGACTCGCACACACTAATAAAGCCACTCTGATGTTTGAGCCTTTCTTCTGCGCCGGCCTGGTTTCTTTGTTTTTTCTTCCTCTGTTCTGTTTCTCTTTTGTTCCTCTGTTTTCTCAGCCGTGCTCTGTAATTTTGAATACTGTTTTTTTTTCTTTCTCTCCTCTCTCTCTGATGCTGACCTTAATTTTGTTTCATGCTTTCATTGTCTTTGAGTCTTCCTCTCTCTTTTGGTTGATTTATTTAAAATAAAGAGAGAAGTAAAAAAACACCTGTGAGTCCAAAAACGACGCAAACCCCCATCTGTGGGAATATGAGTATGCAGCTTCAGACACGATCTTTAAATGAACTTCAAATAAATAAAATCAGCAATTTTCCTCAAATCTTCGATTTAAATTTCTGTTTGTTTTGTCAGACTTGTTAAAGATCCAAATATCTCTCAATCTTAGAGACATTTACACCATTTACTTCAGACAAACATGACATTTCAGGCAAAGCTGATGAAATTTAGCAGAAGAACACGAGGCAACTTGGCTATCATCATAATAAAAATGGAGGCGCTTGGTTACTGCGGAACTGCCGAGCATATTAACCATGACAGGCCACACCAAACTCTCCTCAGAAATCCTGTAATGAAGTTTTACAGACACCCATCATGTGATGTTAATTATTCTTGACATGTGACCATAGGATCAGATGAATAAGGTCCCAACCACACAGGCCTAGAGACCAGTCAGTGACCAATGAGTGGTTGCTAGGGAAAAAGGGGTATTCCCCGTAGGGCTGGGCGATATGGCCTAAAATTCATATCGCGATATAATTTGAATCATGTGCGGTATAACGTATTTTCCACACTTAAAATCCTTTAATTTTCTCAAAAATCGAGAGTGTGCCTTATGTATGAATTCTGGTTGTGCTTACTGACCTCGAACCGATTTGGGAAGAAATCTATTAAAAAATGTTTTAGTACAACTTTGGTAAGCCGCACTGCTTGATGGATTGTCAGAGCATTACGGCTGCCGTAGTGAGGAGCTTCGCGAAGTAATCTGGGTCCAAAACTCCGTCCGTTTCAGGTCCCAAAGTCAAACAACACTGAGAGTTAAAAACGGTCTAAATTCTTTCATCTTTAATAAAATCATCAGCGTTGCTGCTTTACCAGGTGTAACAATTAAGTTTAACATCCATGAAAACAGAATTTATTAAATTTAACGGAGTTAGAAGTTAACAGGAAGTTAGCTCGCTAGTTGACACCTAAACATTTCATACCATGTTCTGACTGAGAGATTTTTGAAACTAATTAAAACGTACAGCTCTGCTACCACTTCCAACATAAATGAAGACAGAAAACTAAACAGCAGTGGCGTTTGCAGGGTTACTGAAGTCTGACTACCTGGTATATAATGTTGTGCTACATGATTGCTAGCGACACAGCTATGTTAGCATAACATTAGCACAGTGAAGCTGGAGGATGAACGCCAACTTTTTTTCCACTCAATAAAAGTTAACGTGAGGGATTCTGCTGGTCAGGGACAAATGCAATCGTATAGCAGGATGCTGTACACGGGCCAAACTTCAGTCAGGAGAACAACTGAGATCATTCATCCACAATACGAGGTTAGTTATTAATATACTGCAACAACATGGGAATAGAGCAGCTGCGAGAGAATTCAACATTAATGAATCAATGTTACGGAAGTGGAGGAAGCGCAGTTTTTGGCTTTCCCCATATTTCAAAAGTGCTTCATCTCTTTGCTGTGACTGTCGCCGGCCATAATTTGCAGATGATAATGGTTTTAGCCACTGCGATGCTTTCAACCAAAACAGGCGCAGCTTGATGACATCATCAACATGCGCTATCGCGATAGAGCGATATAGTCAAAATCTCTATCGTTGGCCAAATTTATATTGTTTCTATCGTATATCGTTTATATCGCCCACCCCTAATTGCCCGTCCTCCTTGTGATTGCTTTGACCACCAGTATGTTGCTGCAGTTGTAGTTGGAATGGACATCATGCACCTGCCCACAAACACTGCTCTCTGGGCTGCAGTCAAACTGTGCAAAGTGTGACACAAACCAGAAATGAAGAGTTTACCTTCAAAGTAATAGTTGTGTCTTTGCAACATGTTGGCTGCAGTGCTGAGGCACAGCGTTTAATTTGAAGGAGAATGTCTGTGTGGTTTTTCATGTAGCACTGTCTTCACATCTGATTTAACCTAGAAACAGCCACAGGAACCACTGCCAACTTCCATTTTTCCCTAGCAACCGATAGCTCAATTACATCCAATATGGCAGACAACTCTTGAGCAATGTGCCCATGACATCATCTGAGAAACCTGTTTTTAGCTCTTCTGTCTCTTCCTTTTCCTCGCTTCCCTTGCAGCTTCGTGTTTTTAAGCTTGCTCGCTCATGGCCAACTCTCAACACGCTGATAAAGATCATCGGGAACTCTATGGGCGCTCTGGGCAACCTGACGCTCGTCCTCGCCATCATCGTCTTCATCTTTGCCGTGGTCGGCATGCAACTGTTTGGGAAAAACTACCAGGTAACACTTCTGACCCAGACTAAGGTACGGGCCTGACGTCGCTTGTTCAGAACATTGAGCTTTTTTCTGCCGCCTCTGCAGGAATGTGTGTGTAAGATCTCCAAGGACTGCACTCTTCCTCGTTGGCACATGAAGGACTTCTTCCACTCGTTCCTCATCGTCTTCAGGGTGCTGTGCGGCGAGTGGATAGAGACCATGTGGGACTGCATGGAGGTCGCAGGGCAGCCGCTCTGCATCCTCGTCTTCATGCTGGTCATGGTCATCGGAAACCTGGTGGTGAGTTCCTACCTGCTTAATCAAAAAATCCCTCTGGAATTTTGACTTTTAGGAGGTGTGACTGACTTATACTGGGTATGATCATCTATTGGACTAAGCTGGAATGTCCGTTGTGCTCCAGCCGGTCAGTTGGTGTTGGCAGTCTGCAAGTTAAAACAAATGTTTTGAGGAGATGTAAAACTTTAGTATCATTAGCAAATTAGCGTCATTGGCTAGCTATCTAACATTGGTCCATGTAGTCTCAAGGTCATTGTCAGTCTCCAGAGACAGTCACTTTAAATGATTCGACATTGGCAAACTGGAATGTTGTTCAGAAGGAGGAATGGCTGCTTTTGACCTCTAAGTTGGTGCAATGATGTATTCAACCCAAAGACAAAGGTTTTACACCTCGAATACTTATGTAAGATATTATCATAACTCACCATGAAGTCTAATGATTTCTCTCACTTTTCTCAAGGCCGTGTCCCTTTGTCCCCCTGTGTCAATGTAAAAGAGAAGTTAGACCCCTGAAATCCTGTTGTTGTCAGACAGCGTCCATAAGCTTCTCCTTGGATTCTGATTGTCAGGAGAATCTCAGCTGATGAGAGTTTCAATGCAGTGTGAGGAAGATTTTTCACAAAAGTTGAGATATTTGCTTCAGTGTAGTGAGAGATGCTGGCTAACTTTGCTCATAACTGTGAGCAAACTGAGTTGGTAGTTGTGTAGTTTTGTGTGTCTGTGCAGGTTCTTAATCATCCAGGTCATGGTCCAGTCCAAAGTGCTTGAATCAAAGGCCAGCTGTCTTCTATCCAAGCACTTTGGACCAAGTCTACAGTCATTAGGGTTAGAGTTAACTGTAATTCAGCATTTTGGCTAAACAGAGCTCGTTAAAAATAACTGTTGGGCAGAAGAGAAAGGCTGTGTTTTGGTCAGCAGGTGGGCTTTCCTGACCTGACTTAGCCATGTGCTACCGCGGGTACCGAATCCTGCTTCGAGTCGAGGCTGAGGGATGAAAATGTGACAGCTCAGCCAGCTCGGAGAAGACTTGTGGTCCACAGAGGAGGGATGCTTGGTGATTTTGATGGCCTTCACCATCACAACATACATATCCAAAAAGTCATTTATTTCATCTTATAACTTTCATTATTAAGAAATTTCCAGAGCAAATTCTTGAAGCTGAGCTCCTTTGACCAATAAATACATTTCACTTGTTTTATGCTCGTTCCATTTTTATGTGTTTTGTTTTTACTTGGACTGTATTAGCAGTTTAATTTTTGTGTAGACTAAGTGTTATCTCACACACACAGACACACACACACACACACACAGACCAATGCAGGGAGCACTTGACAAAAGGAGAACAGAAAAGATTTCCTTTCTTCTGATAACTATCTGCCATCTCATCTTACCCAGCACCCCCAACGCACACACACACACACACACACACACACACACACACACACACACACAACACACGCACACACACACACACACACACACACAGAGCTCGTTTTACCTCTCTTACTATACAATGCAACCCCCTGCTAGCATGAACACGTCACCTCTGCACGTCTAAACACATCAATCAATCAGTGTGTGTGTGTGTGTGTGTGTGTGTGTGTGTTGTGTGTGTGTGTAGTTGTGTGTGTTATGGTGGTGTAGTGTTAGTGTACGTAAACTGGAGAAGAGAAAAGTTCCACTATCAGATGGTCAAATGCCCCCCCCCCCCCCCCCCCCAAACACACACACTCATTCAAGCACACAAGTCATAGCTGAAGTGAGACGATATTATTCACCACTTTGTCACATGCAGGGTGTGTTTGTTATTATTTTGTTCCGCAGCATTAGTAAAAAAAAAAGTACTGGTCACTTGTGAGCTGGTAGGGTTGACACAATAATGAGTAAGTTCAGCAGTCAAACTACATCTGAACCAGATTTTGAGTAAATATTAGTAAGTTTTCCTCTACAGTAAGATTTCAATGCACCTGTCAGGACAGGTACTTGGCACACCTCCTTTATGCCTTTAATCATTTTTAAAAACCTTATCATCATACACTCATACCCTGTTTCATCAGGGCTAGATTGGGGTTCAGTACCTTTTCCCGTACTTTGAGTAGCTGAATGTCCAGTAACAACCTTGTGATTAAAGCCTGACTTGCTCTACCTCCTCAGCTACAGAGGATATTCCTCTGTGGAATAACGTGGGAGGATATCTGACTGAAATGAATGCAAGCAATAAAGCCGGTCATCAACTTGTGTTTGGCCTCACTGGACAAAAATAAAATCCATAATAAGCTTTTATTTCAAGTAGTGTGAGGTGAAGCCTGATTCCTGCACCTCCTCCTAACTTTGGTTTCAAGACTGAGCTGAAGTTAATTTTCTTCAAATTCTGGAGTTCCCCTTACTATAAACATTAAAAACACTCAAATAAAATCCCAGCACTTGAAAGTGTTAGTTTAGCTTCTGTAACAAACAGGTTTGTTGGTATGGCTCCATAATCGTTGATGTCCCAACATGAGCCTGATGCAGGGAGAGCAGCAGCCAAACAGATTCAGCAGTTTATAGCATTATTATTCTAAACTGCATTTATGTTTTAGCAGCAGCAGGTGTCTGAGTAGCAGTCAGATCTTAGCGTATATATATCCCAACACCAGAGTTTGGGGTCCAAATATAACTGGATAAATAGAATATATTAAATAAATATATTTAAATAAATATATTTAAATAAATATATTTAAAGTATATTTAAAATATTTACATGACAAAGAAAGCAGGATCAACAAATGTGGAAAAAGGAGCTTGAATACAATTTAATTTTACTCCTTAATTTCCGTTTTTATCATTTTCATTTGTTCCCTGGGCTCCTCGTTCTGTCCCTCCTCTTCCTCGTCTAGTCTTCACAGCCTGTAATATACTCTGTAGTGGATTCTCATATTCACCAGTCAGTGGATCATGAAATGTGTGTGCGCGCAGCAATAATAGAGTCTCACTCATCTATTTAGCTTAATGGTCTCATGGATATTTAATAATGAGCTTGATAGGCCAGACAGCTCACACACACACACACACACACACACACACACACACACACACACACACACACACACACACACACACACACACACACACACACCAGACAAGACCGTCAACAGCTCTTATCCGTCCTCTGAGCAGGAATTGTTTTCTATCAGAGGATGATGCCTGACCTGAGTGATGATGTGTGTGTGTGTGTGTGTGTGTGGTGTGTGTGTGCTGTGGTGTTGTGTGTGTGTTGTGGTGTGTGTGTGAAAACTGTGTTTGTGTGTGTGTGTGTGTGTGTGTGTGTGAACCTTTGCTATTCATGTGATTTATCCTTTTAGAAATGGCCCCATTGTGCACACCTAAGCACGCTGAGGTGTGCACATGCCTTGCATGCGTTCACGTGTTTGTATGTGTGCATGACTTTTTTTTTTTGGCGGTGGTGGTTATAAGATGTCACGTTGTCAGACCTCATAACAGGCAGTGAGGAAGGAGGAAACAAGTGAAAGCATGTCCAAATACTGTAAACAGACAGGAAGGAAAGCAGGAAGGGTAATTCAAGTTAAGGTAACTCGAGGTGATGCCAAAAGGAATAAAGAGGTGGTAACAGAGACAGAGAGAGAAAAGATCAAAGGAAAGGACAAGAGGGAGATGCCATTAAAGAAAAGCAAGAGAAGATAAGGAAGGAGCAAAGGGAAGAAAAGAGGGAAGGAAGAAGGAAAAGGGGAGGAGAAAAGAATAAAAAGGAAGGAGGACAAAAAGTGGGAAAGGATAGGAGCAAGAAGAGGAACTCACAAAGTGAAAGAAGTGAGAAAAACTCCAGAAAAGAAGTTGTCAGTAGAACAAACAAGAAACAAATTCAAAGAATAAAAAAAGAGTTAAAGGGTTATTGCAGAAGGATGAGGAGAAAAAGTAAGGGGTAATAGAGACGTAAGAACCTGAGGAAGAAAGTGATAAAACTGATACAGTACAGGAAAGAAGGAGAAAGAAAAGAAGTTGAGGAGGAAGAAAATGAAGAGGGAAGAAATTCAATAAAAGAAAGAAGAGGAGAATTTAGAAGCACAGGGTAAAAGAAAGGAACAAGAAAAGTAGTCTCATATATAAAGACAGGAAAAGGGAGGAAAAGGTACAAGGAAACTGAGGGTATAAAAGGAAGAAAATAGGTACTAGAAAAAAGAAAATATGAAAAGAAAAGCAGAAAGGAAGAAAAGAAGACAAAGGGAGAGTATGAGAATAAAAGAAATGAAGGAGGAAGAGAAAAGGTGAGGAAGGAAAAGGAAAACATTTTGGCAAGAGAACTAAAGAGGGAAAAGTAGTGGAAAAACTAAACAAGGAAGAAGAAAGTGGTAAATGGTGAGAGGGAGAGAGCAGAAGAGGAAAGAAGAGAGGAAAATAAATCTGACACAGTTTCAAGGAAGAAATCAAAAAAAGCAAGAACAAGGCACAGAGGGAAGAAATTAAGCTTCCTGCTTCCTGTGTAAATAAAAGGAAATAGGGAGCAAGAGTAAACAAGAAGGAAAAGATGGAGGGGTACGAAGAACCAGAAAGGAAAAAGAGGAAGTAATAGAAGGAAAATGAAAACAAAAGGAACGAGAAAAGGTAAGAAGGAAAAGGAAGAAGTATGATAAGAAAGGAAGGAAGGAGGAAATAAAGAGATGGAATTAAAATGAAAGGGAGGAATTTAAAAGATGGAAAGACCAAAAGGGGGAAACACAGAAGGAGAACAAAGAGTGGAAGAAAAGTGAAAAGTGCAAAATAAAACACGAATCGAAGCAGGAAAGGGAAAAATGAGGAGGAAGTAAGGAAAAAGAAGAAATACAAAAAAAGGAAGTTTCACTTTAACGACTCAGAGTTTTGTCACGGGAACAGTTGGCGGGCAAGATGTGAGACATGGTTGCCGTGACACTGAACCTCACGATGTTACTCTAACACCCAGAAGGCACCGGGGCAGGAGAGAGGACCAGCTGTTCGCAGACCGACAGTATTGCACATGAGCACACAGA